ACACTACGCTCAGAAAGTTGGGTATACAAAATCCGGGGGCCTCGAGACTTTTGTGTGTTGTGTTATCTCTGCGGATAGCACGTACCAATGCGAGTCATCTCTGCAATCCTACGTGGCTGTCGACCCTCGTCGCTTCTCAAAGGTTCTCAAGGCCCAAGATTAGATAACTATGTTGGCTCCCCAATCACGGCCTGTGTCTGGCTGTGTATATGGGTTTATCAGCGCGGAGATCCAAGAAACACACTATCCGCATTACAGAACAAACGGCCGCATATCAGTTGAAGCCAGTTGCTCTGTAACCTTATCTCAACGCCATCGCCCTGCATATATGTGATACCATAGCCTTAAATTCGTCGATGCTGCTGCTTTGTCACTTCTGCTGAAACAACTGTTGAAGGGACTCTTGCCATACGTCTATTTTTGCTGTCAAAGAAGGAGACACGAGACCCCGTTGGTCTTACAAAATGTTCAGAGGTCAATGCATCCAAGACCATGACTGCAGCCACTCTTTGTTTCCTTCATGCTCAAGGACCGTGACTCTTTGTTAAACGAGACCGATCGAGACACGAAACAATGTCCTAAACTTGGCCCTGTCGAATAGTCATTGGGACGAACGGTTCCCCGAAACGATGCGAGCAAAGGAATCCCATACAATAAAATAACAAAGCACCTGGATGTGGCCTTTCATGGCGAACCCTACCATGGGCTCTCCTCTTTGTCAACTAAGTCAGCAAGATGCTATTCCTGCAATGGCTTTCAGTCCTGTAAGGGAAGATCCTTGAGATTGAGCTGCTCTGCCAAGTGTTTATAGACCGATGAACCCCATGGTTCACGACGAATTCAGAATGGCCTCGAAGAAGCATATCGACCGCGCGGACGAAAAACATGCATATGAACTCTTCGATACGACTCCCGGTATATCTGTTTGTGGTCCTCACCACCCGGTACGCGTGGGCAATGCCAGTAATAAAAGGACCTCCAGTGCCGGGCAAGGAAGACACCGAGTCACTAGCATCCCACGCCCTTGGAATCTTTACAAACCCAGATCAAAGGAGAAGAGAAAATTCGCAGGCCAATTATGCAAGAGACTTCTCACGGAGTGGTGCCGACAAAGGTGCAATTGTTGGAGGCACTGTTGCTGGCGGAATCATCATTTGCTTCACGGTATTTTTCGGCGTTCTCATCTTCAAGAAATATCTTGCTTCCCAAGAAAAAGGCAATAGAAGGATTGTTGATGGGAAACCTTTACGCCCACGCACTGAAACACCAGGAACAACGACCTCGGCTCACACTTCATGGCGTCAGACGTTCAACCATCGAATATCGGTCCCGTATGCAGACTCTGTATACTCTCAGAGATCTCTCGGAAACACTTCAGCTGCCACTCAGATCAGTAGAGCTTCAGCACAGCCAATCGTGCTGCCTACTATACCATCAAAGGCTGCACAGATGCTAGGAGTTGGAAACACGAAATCAACAACACCTCTTGCAAAGACATCTCTGTCTTCGCCTCGCTTGCCAATTACACCCCTCTCAGAGAACTTTATGCCAGAGACTCCTATTCTTCAATACTCTTCGTCCCAGAGTTCTCCGAAGCACAGCCCTCTACGAAGGAACCCTCCATTGCTGCCCCCTCCGCAGAATCCTCCTCCTCAAGGTCCGCTGCCGCCTGTCCCTACCCATGAGACACCAGCTGTTATGGTGTCCAAGTCATCCAGAAGCCCCCGGGATCGTACATCCTCCGTCTGTACCATGAGTACTCTTGGTATGGAACTTCTCCGCGATGTGATGCAACCCCCTGAAGAGGCGTCCTTCCTTCGTTCACCACCGCCAATCTCAAAAACAAACCAGCCGCCTCCCGTAGCCATGAGAAATTCCAAAGGGCAGAATACAGTTCCTGATAGACGATATTTTGTACCGTTATTCAAGAACAATGGACAACTGCCGAGTCCAACGTCGCCTGACGAGGGAGTGCTTTCAGAACGAGGGACAAGGAACAGAACGAAGAGTATTATCAATTCCAAGGCGGAAACAGTGTTACGAGACTCTTCAAGGGCGGGGCTATTCTCTCTCGGTTACAACAGAATATGAGACTTGCAGGCCGAGTCTAGGTGGAATTCATGGCAGTAATGAATGTTTATTCACACATACAACAACTATACCAAACACGATTTATTGAGCTAGCGTTATATACTACTTAATATACCAGCATTTAATCTTGAAATCGCAAGGTTTTACCATCAAACAGCTTCTTTACTTCTCTGGTATTGCTCTTCGTCTACCTTGATGTCTGTTTTCACCATTCTGCGGAGTCCTAGGAATGCCCAAATGACCCAATACAAGTCTATCCATTTTGCTCAATCAATTCTCTCTAACTTGTTCAACATTAACAAAGGCGTAAGTCTATCGCAGTTACACCTGCCTGAAACATATTATTCTGATCAACCCATATGTTTATCAAACCCCCTTTACCAGCTCAAGCACAGCCCCCATTTCGGCAAAAGGCCCTGCCACTCTGTTACATCTTGGAACGTCCCAGAAACTAATAACGTGTATATCTAAAGGAGCCACATATTACAAAATAATATCTTACAAATCTTTATAACCAGCACCTCCGCCAAATATAGATCAGGGGTTCCATAGAGAAGCTAGAAACAAGGCCAGAATCTAATAGCCAGGCCCTATAATTTCCCTTTATATCTTAGTCTTATAATCATCACCAGTATACATTATGTTCTCCAATCCCTTACTAAATAGCTCAACTCACTCATCGCTTTATATGCCTCTACTCCATAGTACGGGGTGGTTAAGTTAGAACCTGAAAGATGGCTCTCATCTCATAGCGGCTTCTACATATACGAGGAAAGGCACCACCTGGAGTTCCCTATTAAGACTTATATAGGGTTAAGGTTCAGCTACATATTTCAAGATGTCAAGCAAGTGATATTTTTTAAACACAGTCTCTATATTCCAGTTCATCATCATAAAGTCTACCGAACAAGAAACACAAGTTCCAATTCCAAGTGCCAACCAAAAACATACTGTACAAGACCTCACCTATCGTGTCTAGGCGCCTGTATGAACGCTCCGAACAAATTCTATTGACGTTCTAGGAAGACCTGGGCGCTATTGGTCCTTGTTGAACAAGCAGGATGGAGACATCTAGTTGATAAACCTCTTCTCAGGATATGGGACGACCTTTCACGAAGTCAGCCAGATGGATCCGGATACATGTCCACCAGAGCATCAGATATCCCATTAGCAACCTTTGAAGCCCGCCGGTCGTCCCTTCAGACTCATACCATCCACTGTAACTGGGCGGCTACGCCATATATGTCTTCCACTCCCTCACCAGAGGCACTCGAGAATTTGGCCAACTTCAGATAGTCTCACCCCGGAAGAAAGCATCAGACAATTACCGTAGTGCTTATTTCCTACAGTTCATCTCGAGTAAGGCTGGCCTATCATTTCCTAAGGTGAAGAATAGGACTGTTGCCGCGTTAAAACTCCATATGGGATAGGGTTAGGAGCAAGTTCAACATCGCATGGACGATATATAAATCGTCTTCGGTACATCACATCGTCATTATTCTTCATCATACTGAATGAAAATGTTTGTTGATTGTGTTAGTGGATGCCTCTTTATCACCGAGTTCCTCGACTGCTTCCTACCACAACACCATTAGCAAGACACGGGCTGGCTACCAACCTATTGAGTGATATATTCAGTCGTTGCTATGAATAAGACATCCTCTTCTTTCTGATTACAGATTGTAGGTGCGTATGGTTAGAGCAGAGGGCTTTCAAGACGTGGTTGAGGGTTGTCGTATATGTATTTTGTTGTCTTTGTCCCCGGTATCAGATTGTGAATGAAGGAGGTCGATGTCCTTAGACTCATCATATGCGACTTCGAACAATGGATTATAAAGTCTTACGGATCTTGCTGAGCTCAAAATTACGCATTTCAACAATCATGGAAGGACTCATTCATTGCTTACCATCACAACCCCCGTGATACTGTCTCAAACATCTCTGTGCTCCTTACTCCAAGTGTACCCTCTAGTCGCTCCGGATTTCATTTTCCTGTCTTGAACAAGACCTCTGGGCTAGTTCACGCCATGAGTCATGAACTAAGAAGATCTTTTACTTCCGGCGCATTCCCGAATCCTCATACCCAAGGAGTCAAGGGTCAAGGATTTCTTAGTGTTTGGAGGCGTTTTTTTTAGAATTGCATGAATCAGGCGATAAAGCAGGTCAATATCAAAGTATAATGTGTAATGGGGTATTATTCCAAATATGCTCACAATAATAAACAAGTTAACCATCAATACCGGACATCTTGTGGTAGTGCCCCTCCTCCCCTGATTGCCTCAAAACCCATCCAGTCCAGTTGTATATGATCCTTCTCTTCCGTCCAGACATTTGTGAAAATGCCGTTAGTATGAATAATGTGTGTAAAGATATGATTATATCCCGCCAATGTCACCCCCATGGAGAGAAAGACGCCCTCGCGAGTGAAGCATCCGCCAGTCGTTGTAAGTTCAAATGAATGAGGTGCCCCTGCAAACGCTAAGCTCCCCTTCGTGTTGGTGATTTACTTGGGTCGTACCGCGTTGTTACAAATTAGCGTTCGTTTCTCTGATGCTATGTCCCCTGTAACCAGAGGTACGAAAGGCGTCTAGCCGTAAAACATGACCGAACGCCGTAATGAATAAAGTAGAGGCCGTTTCTCATCGTCCCTGCGCTGCTACTACTGCCGTATCTTGGTCAAAATACATGCTCGAGTGCAGCGGCTGAACAGTGACCAGGAAACGCGGTGCCAGTGCATGCCGGATTAAGCAGGCTGGTACCGCAGGGACTGTTGGATGATCAGTTCCTTGGTGCAGACTCGTCGTAGGATTGAGGTCGATAACTCTCGGCGTTGGCGTGCAATTCGTCGACTGGCTGTTGATCGGTCGACTTTGAAACGCAAAAGGCCTGCTGTGAGCCTCGGTCGTCCTCTATCCGATGACAACTCGCGCGCCTTCTTTGCCCAATACACCCCTTTCTTTCGGCTTGGGGCTATTTGTGCGACCCTTCTTGCCCTTGAGGAATCCAAACATACCGCCAGAGCCTTCACTCTTGCCGTCGCCAATATTGTTAGCATCTGTAGGCAAGGTTGCATCCTGGCGAGCTAGTTCAGACCAACTACCACTGCCGTCGAGAGTTACTTGTACGCCCCCAGTAGGACTTGTCATCCGTTGGCCGGCAACAATCGGGACGTGGCGAGCTCGGAAGTCATTCTGCAGCGGAGGTGGCGGAGCAGGGCGTACAGGACGTCCCTGCCGGCTTTCATTGCTGGTACTTGGATTAAGAGGTGATGACTGATAACCTCCGTTGACTGCGGGCATAGGCGTTGCTTCATCCGTTGTGATCGCTTGAGGAGCGTTGTCAGAGTCAGGATGACCTTCTGGATTTGCACCAGTGCCCTCAGTGATTCTGTTCAAGTTAGCAAATCGATATCAGCGATCAGCCCAGGAGGGCATACCGTTTATAAGCAGCCACTGTGTAGTCGAACGGCTTGAAATCTGTCTCAATCATGCGATACAGCTCATCTTCCCTAATCTCTTTCTCAGTCGCATCGTCCTTTAGACGCTCTCGTGGTTTCTGGCGTCTCGCACGGGCTTCCAGTGGGGCCTCCTCTAATAGCAACTCTTCGAGGTCGTATGTGGCATCGAAATTGGTCTTCTCGGATGAAGGAACAAATATGGGTTCGATTCTCTTAAGTTCGAGTAGTTCGAAATCAAAACACTTGAAGAATTCGTTTTGCGTGAAGCTCTCCCATGTTGAGCCCATTCGAGTTTCGCGGTTCGGGTCGAGCGCGGAGCCGATTGCGTAGAGGCAAGCTAGGGACACAGGCGGTTGTGTAACGGGATATTTGGGAGAAGCGGCCTGGATCTGTTGACTGAGAGATCCTTCAGAACCACCTTCGAAGGGGCGCTATATCAAATGAGAAAAGACGTATATATGACCAGTGCAGTTTATCAAGCTTACCTTGTTGTAGATACACTCGTAGAAGAGAACACCCAAGGACCACCAATCTGCCCGCACATCGTATCCTTTGCCAGCGTAAACTTCAGGTGCAAGATAAGCCAATGTGCCAGACTTGCTAGTAAGTGTCCTTCCTGGAACGACGTCGGAGGCGACGTTCTATTTTCGTTAGTTTTAGCTGCATTTGAAGGTAAGAGGAGCGTACAAAATCTGTTAAATGGACATGACCATCCGCATCAAGCAAGACATTGTCGGGCTTGATATCTCGATGGATGATATTTTGGCTGTGCACATATCGCAAAGCACATCCGAGCTCTGCAATCCAGAATCTAACAGCCTCTTCGGTAAAGGTCTTTCTCGAAATATGGAATCGTAAATCTCCGCCAGTCATAAGATCAACCACCAGATACCTGTTATCGAATGTGAGCTAGCACTAGACAGTGTAGATTATATGAGAGCGTACATATACTCAATATCTTGAAAACTGTATCTCAAGTTGCAAATGAAAGGATGATTAACATATTCCAGCATTCGACGTTCGCGGATGATGTTTCGCACGCTTTCGGATCGTACGACTGCGAGGTTGAAAAGGATTAGCATGGTGTCACAGATATGATAGCAGATTCCAGCAGTTTGATTGTTGCCACCAATGGAAGTGGTACATGTATCGAGACCTTAGGGAGCGCCCTGAGCTTACCTTCATCTTTACGGATATATTTGAGGGCAAAGGACAAGTTCGTGTCCTTCCGCTCAACAATTCGCACCTTTCCGAAGGCACCTCGGCCGACGACTCGCAACAGGCGGAAATGATTCAAGTTCACTATAAAGCTGTCAGCATCACCCACCACACAATGTCATAAAATTAAAGCAGAAGCATGTAAGGCTACGAGAGCAAAAGAAAAAACAGAGAAACTGGTTCGTGAAGAGCGTGGATAGAGGTTGCATGACACACGTGGGAGACAGGATGACGCCAAGTAATATGCGGCTGAAAGATAGCAAATGGCATGCAGGATGACGGGAATCCCAGATAAACCAATGGCGACATAGATTTGGGGGGCGAACGACATCAGAAACAAATACAAAGAAGCTTCTGAGCCGAGCTCCTTCACGTACCTTCGCCGTTCAGGTCGACGGGCTTTCCTTGGCCATTGCCCATCGCGAGGGGATCGATATGTTGGACAACGTTGAATTATCGTGAAAGATAGCAAAGTCCCATGCTGAGTCTTGAATCTAAGGAATGGATCGGAGGTGGAGTCGGAGCGCCGTGGTAGTATCTCGCAGGGCACTGTATCTTGCGGTGTAAATCGTGGAAATCAAAATTCGATTCGAGACAGAGGATGTATTGATGGCAGTGAGTTCGATGATGCTGACAGCGACGACGACGATGATGATGGCAAAAGGACCAAAGTCGCAGGGGTACAGCAGCAGAAGCAAATGCAGCTCAAAAGTCAGCGAAGCAAGATGAGGCTTGGCTTGGCTGGGTTTGGACTGGCCGGGCGCTTGTGAAGTCGAATCGAATCGGGACGCGGACAGAGCAGGGTCTGGACCTTAGCGGACAGCGCAAAGCACGGGAGGCGAGAATCGGATTTTTCTTGTAGTGCAATTCAGTCCAGCTTCGGTCTTTTGGGGGGGATGAGACGTCGTTCGGAGGTTGGTGGCGGCGGGAGGTCAAGGGGACGGCGTGCGACTTTGGACCGACTTTCTTGGGGGAGAGAGAGGGGAGAGAGGATGGTCTTTTGAGGGGGAGAAAAGGAGGCCCGGTGAAGAGGGGGCTTGTGGAGGCGTTTCGAGACGTGGGATGTCAAAGTGCTCTAGTTCTAGTTGAGTTGCCTAGCAGACTAGACTTGTTGGAAATGGAGAAGAAAATGTACTGTTGGTGAAAATACAAGATGGAGAACAGTACGGCAATAGCGGAAGGGAAATGGTCTAATATGGGCAATAAATGGCGATAAGGTGAGGTACCTAGCGGTAAAGGCCTTTGACTAAGTACAAGTTTGAGAGAAGGTATGGTTGAGTGGATGTATTCCAGAGAGACGAAGAAGAAGAGTCAATGGAACAAATGGAAATCGAAGGTCTCGGTACTAAGTTTAGGTAGGAGGAGTCAGTACCTATTAATCAAGGTGCCGTAGCCCAGTACAGGTAGGTCACGGTAGCGGTAGCGGTAGCGGCCAGCTGTGCTAAAAGGGAGAGGGGGGTCCCTGTGTTTGAAAGGTGTTGACCAGATGCTGCACATTAATCTACAGGTTGTCGAATCAATAAGGATTTCCTACTGCAGACACGGAAACATCACAGGAGAGCCACACCGTCAAACAAAGAACTAATCAACTAGTGATGCCACTCTGAGCTTTCAGGGCGTACATGTCGGCTCCCGTCCCTGACGAGCCGTACCAGTACATGCTTCATTCAACTCCTTAGAAACGGGAGTGCAATTCGACGCGGCCCAGAGTGATTCATGGTCTGTGCCTATTTAATTCCGTCCTTCTTGCAAACTCAAGTGGTCTGTTGTCTGTATGTATCTCTAGTTCCCTTGCAATCCAATGTAAGAGAGCACGGACAACTGCATCCGTTGGCAGGGGTCCAGAATAATGAGAAAGCTAAGAGCCGGAGCAACAGCACGAAAGAGGTCAGAAAGCCACGTCCAGAAGAGCAGTGATTTTCGTTTTTCTGCTCGCTTGTCAGACATTAGCTCTGCCTAACTCTTGACATATATCTGGTTTATCAACGGGGGAACAGGGGGGGTTTCCAAGCCAAGATGCTAGCTTATCAACAGATGGCGTCGAGTTGACTCCAGAAGAGGAATTCCTGTCGCCTGGTGTAAGACGGAGGATTCGACCTCGACTTGGTGGATGGATGCCTTCAAGTGCTAGGAGGTATTACACAACTACTGACTTGCAGACGTTTGCTATGACTAGTAGGACAGAGTCCTGTACTGCAAAGTACCAGAACCGACAATTGCCATTACGGCACACAGAACCAAGTGTGGGCTAAATAACCGACCAACGATAGTGGCCGGTGGCAGTCCAGCCAGAAAGAAGCGTCTGGTTGTTTGTTAGCATGGGATGGAATGGCTTGACTCGGCTTGTGGGATATAATGGCATGAGAATTTAAGAATGACCAGAGAAATGTCATGGTATGACTTTGCTTTACGATCTATGTTGAGAAATCAAACTAGTTAGACTGCTTAGGCTACTTGAAGATGATGTTTGAAGTTGTTCATCTCTACTATCTAAGTAGTCTCATGTTGAGATATTCCACAACTCCCGTAAAAGCAAACAGCCTTCCTTCCTTCCTTCCCTCCCTCTACAAACTCTATCTTGACCATCTCACATCACCAAAGATGCCGTCGTTGCACTACATTGCATGGGTGAGCTCGTCTCTCTCGCTATTCCCATTTTCGTGCTCAGCTGGCTCAGAGTTGAGTTCGTTCATCTGGCCCCAGACCATGACAAGGGTCCTGACTCTTGTAAAAGAGCCAGTCGAACAAGACAGGGGACTGTAGGTACGACCTACCCTGGTTCCACTGTCGTTCAAAAGGAGCCCAGGGTGCAGAGAAACGTCCTGCGTCCCTAGGTGCAGCATCGTCGACCTGCAATGTAACTATGCTAAAGGTGCACTATACCGCCAAAGATCATCACCACGTCCATCTCCTTTTTTTCTCTTGACAAGTAGAAACACCCAGTTTCATAGTCATATAATTTTCATTGTTTCAGGAAGCCACACACAGTCGGCATGCTTCCCTCTCTACGATTACCGCTTACGACCGCCTTGCACGTTCATCAGTAACATGACATTACAGTACAGTACATTACTGACCAACTGATTACCTACGTCTCCTCTTGTTCGGCGTGGCCGAAGGGGTAGTGCTTGTGGATAGGCGGCGCGTGGCGGAAACCAGTCTAGCCACTGATCAGCTTGACAACTCGACTAAGACCAGACCATTTCGTGCCCCGTCGACACAAGACCGAAAACACGCTGTCAGTTGTATCCCAAGTACCTTTCGACATGTGCTTCACGATGCAGACCATTTCTGACCTTTATCGCCGAGGCGAATCAGCTGCCGGGCGTGTGAGGGTCCCCTAATACCCACTGAAGCCGTGCTCGAGATCTACATGTCGATATATGCTAATGTTGACTTGGCGGCCTTACAAGTGCTCAGCAACCAACCAACTTGACCTTTGTCGCTAATTGGCCAATTGACCAGTTCTGTTTTATTAATCTTGTTCGATATTGATGCTTATTGAGGAAGCCGGATATGGCATTCACACGTTCAAGCCCTCGGAATCAATGTTCCCACTGCAGAACTCAAAACTCCGATCATGGCTCATATCGACACGGTATTGGTCTTTGAAGTAATTGCAATTGGCCAGCTGAGCAAAGATCTGCTCCGCTTCAGCTCAAATTTCAACCTCGGATTTACGGGATGCCTAGGTTCGCCGGAGAAGCATTCCCCTTTTCGCCTGGACTCAATACATAGCACTCTGCTACTAGTGATCGTCTCCAATGTTTGAGCTCTTGATGCTTCGTGGCGTAATAAACCAATATGGGGGGACCAACAGCAGAAAACCCGACAAAGGCCGGACGGGCGGCCAGGTACGAAAAGACCAGGGGAGAAGCTGACACACGACGATCAAACTACTTCCTCTGTTAGGGATTGATGGAGTCGGCGACGTGGAGTTTTTGTTGGTCGCAAGGTCGACAGGGTTGTTTGACATTGCTATTGACCGACCAACCAGCTACTCCAACACTCTACTGCAACTATCCAGCCCGTTGGGCTTTTGATTGTGATGCATTCTCAGATCTCATCTGGAGGACGGGCCCCTGCATGAACGAGAGCGGCTACTGTATGTTTGCTTCACAAACAGACCTCCATTGGTTTGTGTTTGTGTGACCCTAACGTCGTTCTGGAAGGCTTCTTTCGGCTCACATGCTAATAACACAAGACGGCCCAGTACCGCTACATATGCATGAGTCCTTCGGTTATTATGAGTTGAATTCGGATTCTGCAAACGCCGTTCATGTGCAGATAAGCGACGGAGATGCCCGTAGTCGACCGCTGGTGACCTGTCGTGTAAAGGGACATGGTGGCGTCCCTCATGACTTAATAACCAAGCAGCCAAACCGGTGCTAGTTTGGCCTGCCGCGTTCCGATGCACATAGACCGGCTTTGTTTGCCATGTTAGGATTGACGTATATTTCACCCACTCACTGCTCACAGAGAGGCGAGAGGCACTGATATAGGGGAGCTGAATGCAGCTGCCTGGAAGCTTTTACAGCGCTCTGCAGCATCGCAATATCACAGAACGTAGCTGCAAATTGCACATATCTCACCTACACCGGTCCCTTGCCAAGGTGCTGGATTGTATTGGACGGTGGACACAACGCAATGGGCTGCCAATTACACCAACCTAAGAAAAAGCAAAGAAGCACCAACATGTAGTTGTACCTGTACCACCATCTCGGGTCCCTGCTCCAGCTTCCAACGGCGCCGCCTCTTTGATGCAGGCCAGCCAACCAATTTCATTTTGGAGCAGCCGCATCAGCATTCAAAAGATCCCCTGGGAGCTAACGGGCGGATAGGTGCTACGGTGCACAGAGATGGGAGGTGCCTCAACCGTGTTTCAAGGCCTGTAACCTCGGCGGTACTTGCAAAGTTAGGTTTGAACGTCATCACAGTCACAAGGCTGCCGAAGACGTTCGTCTGGTCCCCCTGTCCCTGATACCGTTCCAGATGCCGACCCATGTTTGCTGATCCTCCTATTCTTTAACGCCGCAGCCGTTTTCAAAGTCTTTCTTGTTAGTTCGATAGGTCTTTGTCATGATTGCATACCTAGGTGTCAGGTCCAAGCCTACCTAGAGATGGAGTAATTTCAAATCCACTGCATGAACACGGGGGAGGCTGATACTCGCTTAGGGCGATAGATAACTCCTCGCTCCTATCAGCCCTTCAGCAGGGTTGATCCCCGGGCATTTCTCCAAACGTCAACTCGAACTGCCTCCTTTTGACTTCCACTACATTTAATCCCATCAACTCAGCAAACGGACCTCGTTTGATACACCACGTGTGGCACTGGCTTCTCTGTATCCGCAGTGTTGCCTATGAAAACAAAATTAAATTGTTCTAGAACAACGCTCCAAGACGTTAGTGGCTTGGAAAACGCCTCTCGGGCAATGCCGCGGCCGGCCAAGAAGCATTTTATATCGAATCTTGGTATAGACAAAGAATCACTTCTCCGACATGATGCCTTTTTTCCGGCTGCATGGCATTTAACACGAGTCTGCTTTCCCTATCGAGGTTTCATTTATCCTATTTTCCGGTGGTCTAACAACTGAGGCGCAACGCCGCCTGCCAAGGTCTGCATTTCTCACGACAGTTTGGTGTTTAGCTTGTCTAGTTTCGTCCTTACGAATCCACGGTGCGGGTATTTTCTTTGTCAAGATCATACGTTTGTGTTCTAGATTTGAAGGAACAAGGACCCAACTGAGTCGCAACGGTCAATTTAAATGTCTTTGGCGCTTGGTGCGTGTAATTGAGCAAGTTTACGCAAGCCTAATTATCGACGATATCTCACAATCTTCCTTCTTCTGTATGCCCAGGTATGAATAGTCAATTTATAGGCCGAAACTCTGAGACGATACAGAGAGAAGTTTTCTTCCTGAGTTATATTCGTATTATTTGATCAGAGGAGACGGTCTTTCTGTGGAAGGGGGTTAGACGGCGATCTCGTTTCAGTCGATATCTTTATTTCGTTGTTGTTTTCTGTGCAAGCGAAATTCGGTAGTCAACTGACTTCTGATCCTTACGTTATGGATCTTACCTTGACGGCAGTCATGATCGTTCAACTACCGATCAGATGGATATCTTATATGACAGGGTGCAGCAGACTCGACCTCTAGGTATTTACTCCGTGACTACTGCTGCATTGTCTGAACAAATCATATCTCACCGTGGATAGAGGACCCTGCTTTACTGGAGGGACTGCTCCAGCCCTGCCATTGCCACGATGAAGAATACCCAACCCCAACTCCATCAAATCTTTGCTCGCAATTAAGTATCAAATTTCAACCACGAGGATTAGGAAATCCCCAGTTCTTATTACACGACCATGACCTAGGTATGGTGTAGGTTAGTCTACCTCCACCAAGTGAGCACAAATCATGACGACTTGAGATCACTTAGAGTATGATGCTTGATGACGTAGTTGAAATAACATCCCTCCCATTTGAGCTACTTTGGAAGCCCAGAACTTGTCAAATACATATTCCAATTGCTTCAGAAGACTACACAGATCACCTACAACCTTATCTTAAGCTCAATTCCCACCAGGAACCCAAGTCCTTCGCCATGTCTCTCTTCCGCAATGTCCTCCGTACAACCGCAACCACTATTCGCCCTATTCACACAACAACACGCTTGCAGATGCCATACAAGCACGACCAGGACCGAGAATCTCTGCGCCCAGTTGTGAATGAGAACACAAAGTCAGGAACGGACGAGCAAGTTGCCTCTGAGCACGCAGACATCGCCTTTGACCCTAACACGACACGGCCCGAGGAAGCTGCCGACAAGACCAGGGAGAGGACCAAATCCAAGGGTCGAGAGGGAGAAGACGCCCTGAACGCGAGTGGTGCGAACCAAGAGCTTAGCACACCCATGGGTGATGAGAAAACGATCAAGACCAAGGGTGCTGGAGAAGAGATCTCAAAGGGAGGACCCAGCGGAAGTGGAAGTGCGCCCAAGAAGGGAGATCTGCCCAAGGCCAAGTAAGAAGTGGGACAACGAAGCGAGAAGTCAACAGTGTCTATGAACTGTGTCTCGTGTACTCCTTACGGTGGCATATGTATAACCTATTCGTTCATCAGAAGAAGAGCTTGGAGGCTTAACTGCATATCTAGATAATGAAGAAGAAAATATCCCATGACGCCAACCTCGGCGCTTGAAGAACGTGGAGTTTTACCTCAATAAGTGATAGGAGAATGAATCAGTTTCGAAATGCTACAGCACTCTCACCTAGTGACAGCACGGACAGTCACGACGACTACTACCTACCTAAACCTTACCAACTTACCTGTGCCTACCTACTACCTACTAAGGTAGCATAGGAGGAAGGTAGTGGGCCAGCAACTGCACAAATGTTGAAGGAAGCACCCAATTAACAGACCTCGTCTTGCTTGTTTCGCCTACCAAGCTCAACATGACATCTGTTTTGCACAACTCGCATCATTGTTCCATGTTTGACAACCATTCAACAGCATTCGAATTAAGCTCAACATTCACCATCCATCACAGAAACATCATTCAACGAGCAAACGAACTTCATGGAAGCCCTCAAAACATCACCATGTCACATCTCCCTAGAAGAATTGGTAGCCAATGACGAACGGGACGGCTTGCACTTCGGCATAGTCAACAAATTCGACCAAGCTCTGAATACTGGAGAATGCACCCAAGATCAAGTTGCTGATGAAGCTGATAACCAAAAGGAACCGGAATCTAGTACAAGTAGGTCTGGAACTGGATCAGAGCAATCTATGGAGGAGCAACAGCTTGACGCCAAGGCGCAGAAGTTTGCTGATAAACTGGACGAGCTATGGTAGGAATATGCCCGTCTGAACCTCAGCCCCCAAGATGGCTTATCTTCTGGTTTTTACCAAACATTCCGGACTGCAGTCTGGAAAGTCTTCCTAGAAGTTCCTCGACGGATTACAGTTGGGGATGAACGTCTTGATCTCCTTGTACGCACGATAGATGCCCTCGGGAAACTGTCCAAAAACAAAATTGTTCCTCAGGGAATATATGTCTGGAACGGCTTACTAGACCTGAAAGAGCTTCTTCTTGAAGTTTGTGAAGGCATGTTCCTCAGCTTGCCCTTCGTCCAAACCTCTTGAGAGTCCCACTGACTGTTACTTAGTTCCCCCCAACGACACTCGCCTGCGTCGAACGTACGAGGGCTGGGTGTCTTTTCAGTCGTTTTACGCTCGTCTCGTTGCCAAAAGTATACCGCTAGATGACCTTCCTGCCTCCGACGTCATGAAACAAGCGCTGGAAGATCGATTACCACCTGAACCACAGATGTCTGATGCTTATATTCGTGGGGCCTGTGAATGGATTATGCAAGCCGGTCCGCACTTATTTTTTCGGATTGGAGATGTCGAAATATTACAGGCACAGAAATCAGGACAGTGGCGGTTCGGGCAGGGCGTAATCCTCCCTAGAGAAAGATGGGAATCCTGGAAACAGAGTCTTAAAGTGCTGTGGGGAGAGCTCAGGCCTGACCAGAAAAGTCTGCAGGATAGACTATTCAAGGCAGGCATTCACATGAATTCGGTACAAAGCCAATACATGCGGAATGAGTCGATGCAAAAATGCAAAGAGTATAAAGATTTCCAAGCATCAATACAGGGACAACAAGAAGATGTGAACAAATGGTTGGGTGGCGTATAATTTGCCAAGATCCTGGGGAAGGGCAGCATAGCATTAGCCAACTGTTGTTAATTTTACATTCATTATGCCATGAAAACATCAAGACCACAGTGGCTCAAACTCCCGACGCCAGACTATGCATATCACTACTAACGCACCAGTGCCTAGGCGTACATCATGTCGCCGTCCTCCTCCTCATCGTCTTCATCCTGCACGGCAGGAATCTCCTTCTTCTTCCCCAAGTCTTGACGGCACATGGGACATGTACCCTTGCTGCGTAACCAAGGCCCGACGCACTCAAGATCAAATCGATGACCTCCTTTACATGGGAGCTCAACAACGAGACAATACTCGTCTTCTAAATAGGGCACCTTACAGATGGCGCAGTCGTCGTCTTTCTTGAGGGTTTTGCGGTTGACACGGTCGATTGAATCAACGAACTCTTGTGACACTCCATGCAAGCGAGTGGGGGGGTCGTTTATATCATCTTCGAGATTCATTATCAGAGACTCTAGAAAGTCTCGGTTATCGTCTGTAGGAGCAGTTGTATGTAGCTGGTGGAGCTGTTCCTGGAGGAGGCGGAAGAGAGCAGCCGTGTCGACGGGGGTGGGCGTGGCGTGTGGGTTGTGATGAGGAGTCTGGTCGCCTGAAGGTTCGGCGATCTGATCTAGGAGGGAGAAGAATGACGACATGTCTACGCGACGGCCTGAGCGGCCTTCAGCAAACTTGACATTGTGTTCGACTTTGGACAGTTAGCTACAAGATAGGATGAATGGAGGGGTTGAGGAGGGGTCATTTCATGTTACCTTCGTACTGAGTAGCCATTGTGAAAACTGCCTTTTATTGTTCGTACGCTGCTGATGTAGATATTGAGGAGGGATAGTAGGAATATTGTGCAGGGAGAAGAGAGGGCGCGCTGGCATCAAGACGGTGTGGTGTACCGTGTAACGGTCAGACCCAGGCAGAGATGATGTCGCAAGTCGAGAGAGAGCTCTTGAGTTGTGGGGTAGGGAACAAATGAGTGGAGAACTGGACCCCTGCTTTGAAGAGTGCAGGACGCCACAGTCGTGCAGTAAAGTGAAGGGTACATCCATCAGATTCATACAATGGAGGGCAGGGCAGGGCTGAGAAAGTTAGTTGTCCGATTAGGTTCTTACAGCGTTACATAGAAGCTTGGCCCTTAAGATCAGTCAACAAAACAATGGATTCAAGAACAGCGAGGTCAGGTCGGTTTGAAGAAGAATTGAGGCTGTTCTAGTAGAGCAATTGACTTGATAGATCAAGATATCATCACATGCCAACTTGGTTTAATGTGGCTGATCCCATCCCGCTTGGACCATGTCGTCATGTCGTCCAGTCCCAGGTTTTCCATTCAACGTTTTATATACTGTACTTGCGTCTGTCTTTGCTGCCTAGGTACCTATTAATCGATCAACCAACTAGGTACCGACTCAGTAACTAGAGTCTGAACTGATTCGCTATCTTCGCTTCTCTACTGAGATTTCTGAGTATCCTGTCTACTATTGCTCTCTCATCTTGATACCTCCATCTGCTGCTATCCTTACGATTCGACACTTGTACAAACCTTTCCCCTACCATAACCACTAATTTACCCTATCGCCATGTCTCTGCCCTCTGCTGCCATCATCGGCTCGACTGGCCTGGTCGGCTCAAACATCCTTTCAACGCTGCTGGCCTCCGAAATCTACAACCCTGTACATACCATCACTCGACGCGCTCCCAAGGCGACATCACCTCGCCTCAATGCGATAGTCGATGCCGATACTGCCAAATGGGCAGAGCTTCTCACAGGGCTCACACCCAAGCCTTCTGTCGTTTATTCTGCGCTGGGTACCACTCGCGCTCAAGCAGGCGGAATCGCCAACCAGTGGAAGATCGACCATGATCTCAATATCGAACTCGCAAAGGCATCCAAGGCTGCAGGTGTCTCAACCTTCGTTTTCATTTCCAGCGCTGGAACACGTTCCCTGCTCTCCTCATCTTCACCGTACGCCAAAATGAAGAACGGGGTTGAAGACGCGGTCAAGGAACTCGACTTTGAGCAAGCCGTGATTCTCAAGCCCGGTATGATCCTCGGCCACCGAGAGGCCAGCCGCACAGTGGAAGGTATTGCCCAAGGGGCAGTCAACGGTCTTGGCTATCTCAGCACTGGTATCAGAGATACTTTGGGTCAAGATGCTGATGTCATTGCGAAGGCGGCCGTGAGGGCTGCGCAGTTGGCGAGTGAGGGAAAGGCGCCGAGTAAATATTGGGTTCTTGGTGGAAGCGACATCGTCAAGCTGGGAAGGACTGAGTGGCCGGGTAGCCAGACTCCCACGGAGACGAAGACAGAGGCTGCTGCGTAGAATCTTTGCGAGAGTGACTTGACATGATCTCGTGGTGCAGTCACGACTCTCTCTACCTTTGCACAACATTTTCGCAGACTGTCAGAATCAATCAGCCATTCAATGGCATGCTCCCTTGAACACTCATTAATAGAGAGCATAAAACCAACAGAGTTATTTATGGTGAATTTCTACTCCCTCTGCAACACTCAAACACTCTTGCGACAGAATCGCGCAATACAAGATGATCTTGAAGCCATCAAGACTCCTGCTGGAGATGATTTACTAGAGGAGCCCACAAATGAGAAATAATTTACCATTAGGAGCACATAGTAATCCCATTCTTTTATTTGTCTCGTACCTTACATATGAGCTTATGATATGATACTGGATATGATTAATTGCTCCCATCACATCTCACTAGTTCTTGGCATCAGAGCCCCAACCCTGTCTATGATTCTGTACACCCTTGTGTTGCGTTTCACAAGGCCATGAAATGCAGTAATTTCCCCCTGCATGAAGACATGTTCACGTTGAAGCTGGTATATACCTAGGTTAGCAGTTATCAAAGGCCTTCTACTAACATTACCTAGGCAGTAAGCAAGTCTTGATCTTTCCTCCGACCCATCGCACTTCGGCATTGCTTCTCCCCGCCCCCGCCATTCGTCGGATCTCATCATCAACTCCACTCCTCGACTCTGATAACCCCACCAGCTTCTATCAACTTCTCACTCACTCACTCACTCACTCACTCAATCAATCATTCCCTAAGCTTCATCTTTTACTGCCGCAACTCAACTTGGATTTACTCAAGTAAGCTTCACCTACGAGAATACCTTATCGACATGCAATACTCATAATTTGATAGCCCAGTGACACATATCCGCTATCGAGCACATCATCGTTTTGTGATTACATATCATGTCTTCCCGTCCTTCAGTCGTCGGCCCAGACTCCGGCCCCGAGGCCCCTTATCCTCTTCACATGGAAGGCAAGGTGATTTCTGGTTTCGGCCGCGGCTCCAAAGAGGTACGTCTTCTTGCATGCATCTCTTATTTTACTCACACCTCCTAGCTCGGCATCCCAACTGCCAACCTCCCTGTAGACGAGGCTCTCACACCGTGGATCGCCAACATCTCCTCTGGAGTCTACTTCGGCTATGCCTCTCTCGCTCTGCCCACAACACACCCAGACATCCCATCGGCTTCATCCAACAAACCTCCCAAGTCTGACACAGAGGATGCTCTCCTCGCTGCCGAAGCCCCTGCTAATCCACCTTTCCACATCTTTCCCATGGTGATGTCCATCGGGTACAACCCCTTCTACAAGAACACAGTTCGCAGCGCAGAGGTTCATGTGCTGCACAAGTTCACCGCAGACTTCTATGACGTCCCCATGCGTCTTCTCATCCTTGGCTTTATCCGTGAGGAGAAGGACTACAAGAGTCTAGAAGCTCTGATTGAAGATATCAACTTTGATTGTGAGGTTGCAAAGAACAGTCTGGCTCGAGAGGCCTGGGCTCCTGCAAAGGGACGTGTTATTGGTGGTAAAGATCTTGAGGGCAAATTAGATGTCCAGTGGTTACTTCGAGATGCCTAGGATAGATCCACGAGAAATAGAGCATGGTAAAAAGTGGCCGGGAGTTATGGATAGATAGCAACATAGAAGAGCTGGAATCGTTTTAAAAAGTCATGTTTGTTTCATTTCACATCTGCTTAACTACCTGGGTATCATGCGAAACCCCCATCTGCCTGACTCGGAGCACTACCAATAAACAATGCAGCATCAAAGCTAATCCTCTACACAAAAGTGTGTACTCCGGATCTTTTTCTTCTCTTGCAAGGTAGCCCTCCCTTAAAGGCCTGGCTAGTGTCTTATTTTAAAAGAAAATAACCCCCGACAAAAAGGGAGAATGAACGTATTCCAGTTTTGCCCACAGTCATAAGTAGCTAAACTGCCAGTTGCTGAGGCCCTTGGTCCGGTAAATAACGCGGTAAAAACTGCACCCGAGTTAGCGAGGAAGAAGTCTTGAGGTAAAAGATACTAGAACTCACATTCATTATGATCATCATGGGAATGTCAAAGACGTCTCGTTTGATCGTCCAACAGTAAGTGCATTCAACCTTGCCATCCCTCTCAATCCTCGATATACCGTGCTCGCTGTCAATCCGCGTGACTCGGCTACTGAGGATGCTCGGCTGTACGTCCTTCGGAGCAGTATGATCGGGTTTGATGTCCATGCTCTGAGAGGATCGATACTTGTTGAGTCGGCAACTTCTCTGTACCTTGCCGCGACTGTCCTCAAAGGCCAACTCCGCAAAATCTTGGTAAAACTCAACCACACTGTCATCATCCAGCAGCTCGCCCAAGAAAACAGGCTGAGGTCGCCCCCCGCTCATGTCAAGGGTGGCTCGTTGAGGCCGGGGCGTTGGCATGTCTCCCTGAGCACTGTTGTCTGGTGTGTTGGACCCATTGGTCGAACGCCCGCTGTAGGTATTGATATTGAGGTTTGGCTCTTTTCCGAGTAGCACCTCTTTCGTCCAGCCTGTCAGCGCGATAAACTCTTTGTTGACAGCAGCGACCTCGCCCGATCTTCGACAGACAATGGTCGGAGCGCAGCAATGCTGTAAAAAGTCATCATATTCTACCAACGTTCTTTGAAAGCACTTCTCCATGAAAATGAGATCCTGGCGAGTCAGATCTTTGGTACACGATATGAAAGACGGTCGAATCTCCCCGAGGGCTTTGGCGATCCGTAGTAGCTTGTTACCGGGCAGACGGTTTCGTAGGACAGCCACCATGTTGTGGAATCCGGTTGTGTAAGGATACGGCTCTTTTACACTTTCGTAGATAGCGGCAGAGTCTCTTTGTCGCTTGCCAAGATACGATTTGGGATTCGGCTTAGTACTCTTCGGTCTGTGTCGTTGTGCGCCAGGAACTGTAGGAATTCCAGCAAAATTATGGCCTGGTGAGCCTTCCATGCCTGCAACGGAATGGGGGCTGGCTGTCGCATCTGTACTTGGGCTGGCAAGACTTGTAGGCCCGGCTGCAATAGCATAAGCATGGGGTAGTCCGTGCTGGAGGTTTCCCTGGGCATATAGAGATTGGTTATTTTGGTCCATACCCGAAAAGTCGGCCCCTAACATGGGATGATCAAAGCCGTTTCCGTTGCCATTTGCATTTCCGAAGAGAGCTGCATAGGTGGCCTCGGTGGTTGGAGTCTGCGACAGGGAGTTCTCTCGTGGAGGCGTCTCGGCTCCAAGGGCCATCTTGTTAAGAATGCCAAACTCCCAGCCGGCGTATTGACTCCCGAAATTCAGACCTTCGAGGTCAAAATTGTACAGAGCAGGGTTGCTGGGATCGAATAGGGCGTTGAAGTCCATATTAGCGGTAGGTATAATATTGTTGATTGGAGCGTGTGCATTGCTGATGGGAGCCTGGAAGGATGTCGGGGACGTTTGTGGGTTGAAAGGTAGACTATCAATGCCAACAGGAGTCTGCGCCCCGGTCGAAAAGACCGGCAGTGTCGTAGTGCTCGCCTGAGAGAAGAAGTTGCTGCCAGTTGCAGACATACTATCTGACTGACTGGCATTCGAATTCTGGCGCTGAGCGTTGGGCCTTGAGGGAGTAGGATTGGGACTGGGGTTGTAATTTGGGCCAAGGACAGGCCGCAGGGCTTCCGGAGGAGCATCATGAAGGTATTTAGCCTTCTTGCGCACACCATCCTGGCATGCATCAGCGAGGCCGCGCTTGATGCACCTTTGGCACGGTCTCTCATCTCCTGGAAAGATGTCAGTTCAAGATCTCTTCTTGGCTGTCAAGCACGAAGCTCTCAACTATGACTCTTGTCCCACTGAAATGGACAAAGGAAGCGCGCAAGACAGTTCAACAGCGAAGATACCGACAACTGATGGATTAAAGAGCCAAGCTTCACATGGAGAAAACGAATTCATATCATGATGATTGGCGAATTGCCAGCATTGGGTGGTTGCAAGGACACTTACCACAAGTTAGATGAGCTCTTTGGCATGCAAAGCAAGCCCTTCGCGCTTTTTTCCTCCTCGGGCGCATAGGGTCTTTTGGGTCGTACTTCTTCTTGACCTCGGTGGTGCTCTCGGTAGTGCTCTGGTCGGTCATCTTCTCGTCTTCTTCCCTGAGAAAAGTTTCCGTCTCGTCTTCGTTCTCAGACATGACATCTGAGACCTCAGTGCTATTCTCCTCCATTTCGTGCGGCATGGTGTCTTAGGTTTTATATACAAGGCCTGGCGACCAGTACAAGGTCTTGCGACAGCTGGAATATCCTCCTCTCAGCTTATTACAGCCCGAGACTTTGTTTGGGTTACTGCACACAAGGCGGCTCGGATATGCAGGCTCCGATCCCAGAAACCTTTTTTTGTTTCTCTCTTTCACCTTGTCCTCCTTTTAGACAGCTTTGCGAAACCACACCTATCCAAGCCGTGGTAGGACAGCCAGGCAGGGACAAGTACGCCGTCGAATTGAAGTTGCAATCAGTGCGGTTCAGAGTGACAACAACCCCCACGGTGGCGTGGCGATGCGTAGATAATCTTTCCCCTGATCTCCCTCGCGGATCGCTCACGCGTGCTGCGTAGGCGATGTATGTGAGATTAGGAACAACCTGAACTGCAATGCCCAGATCTGGTAGGACTATGGCGTTGGGCGCAAACGAGGCCAGAAGGCTGTATGCAGCCGTGTATTTGATGATCACGTCTCTGGGCTAATTGGAAGACCGAAACCGCTCGGTCAAGCTCGTATCGTAGAAGGGGCGTACTCAATGAAAGCCAACAAGTGTATAGGTATGGTACGCAAAGAGGCGTCTTGGTGGAACGTATATTGAGTCAATAGTAGGTCGCAGGGGCCGTGAGGCTGTGATTGTTGTCACCGAAGAAGGCGGAGGAGGTGGAGGAGGTAGAATTCCGATTCGATGAGCTTGGATGATCGATGATCGCTGGATGCAGGAGAGTCGTCGGTCAGCGGTAGAGGCGGAGCTGTCTAAGGCGACA